GATATTTATTTTTTCCAATTTTGTTTAGAAAAATGCATAGGTCTACCAGTGGTCAGAAGGGCTTGCTTTGTAAACAAATAAAATATTGATTGTTTTTACATAGAATAAAGCCACTTAACAATGCTTAAAAATAGAGAGTGAAGAGACAGATTGATGTGTCAGAAAATAATTAATTTTTTTTGTTTTAATTCTTCAAACTATCCGACCATACGTTTAAATGTGCACATCTGAATTTGAGCATGGAATTCAGGCGGGATGTGTACTATGATTGTTTTACATATTTCATTGACACAATTCATCAAAAAAATCCTTTGATGAAATAGATTATCTTTAATAATAGCCTGGCCCAATCTCATTATCACTTTAACCCAACTCTACCTTGCCCATTACCCCGGCCCAAATCACAGCAATCATCTCTTCCAAATCCGAATCTCTCGACATTGTACTCTATTGCCTGTTTTCGTCTTCGCTACACCGATCGGCTCCGGCAAACCCACCAAACCTCACCATCAACAATCCACCCAACGTACCCTACATCTTCATCCAACCATCGCCCACAGTAAAATCACGACCCTAAATTTGCAAACACCGTCCGCCATAATATATACATAGTCATCTATCCACTATATATGCTCAACTCCAAGTTCGCTCCAGCTCTCACTCCATATACACAAACCCACCAAACATACAGCCATCACAGTAACCCAGAAATTGACCCATCGCCTTCTTCGATTTCGTGCCACTCGCGACCCCTTGGAACACCCACCACGTGACCATCGTTGCCACTTGTGACACCAACTCCAAGGACACCTACCGCCGATCACCCCTCACAGTGCTGATGTCCACAATCACCGTTGTCGATATCAGGCTTTACTTGGTCCACAAATCTTTTGCCGAAGACAAATATGTCGACATATTTAAACCCCGTTTGGTAGCCATTTTTTTAAAATGCATTTTTCTCCCTCTTTTTTTCAACCACACATTTTTTATTAAAATAATATTTTTCGTAAATAAAAAACTTTTTCTTATTTCTCAACCACATATTTCACATCAATTTACAATTTTAAAATGCATTTTTACATAAAAATGCCTATCAAACGCCCCATTAGCCTCAGATGAAAGTCGGTATTTATTTTCCATTTTGAATGGTTTGTATTTTGGGCCTGGATTTATAAGCTCTCTTATGTATATTACGTATAATTCGATTTTGTGGAAAAAAAAAAGTGTGAAAAAAAGCAAAGAAAAAGGTGAGAAAAAAAGGAGAGAATTTTTTTGATATTATTTGTACGTGATCTTTTATTCATGCTATTGATAATTGCACAAATGATTCAGCTGTCGCTTTGCTGCAGTACTCGTGCCAATTTGAAAATCGTTATTGTGGCATTGTGTGACTCTTTTGAGCTTCTTGAGGTAACAATTATATTATTTTGAACATGTACTTTATTTTAGTATTTTGACTTGTCAATTAAAAAAAATGTTGTGGCATGAATGCCAAGCGTACCATTTGTTAATAAATGGATGAAAACATATTCAATCTTTTCTGTCTTTCAATGAACTTCTATCGTTACTTGCACATATTGAGTATTTACTTTCACAAGTGAACCAATTGCCTACTATTTTCATGCTCACATCTATTAATATACTTAGCGCATCATTGGTCTCAAATAAGTTATTAAGACATCCTAATCCTGCTATACAAGTAGCAGTTGTTTCTTGTCTTAGCAAAATATTTCATATTACGACACTCAATCCCTTTTTTTATGAATTAATGCAAGATATCTTTTTTGTGATTATATAATCATTTACATCTCTCATGGCACATCCATCAATCCGTATGCTATAGTAGTCAGGATACTACATACTATGGCTAATTCGAAGTACTTCCTTATCATGTCGGACCTAGATTGTGAGCAAACGATAGTTGACATGTTTCAACACTTTCTTTGGGCTTTAAAAGGAACTCATTTAGGGAATGTCTTCATGCCTATAGATACTATTATGGCCTTTACATTGGAAGAAATTAATAATGTCCTGTTAGACTTGATTATCCTTTTTTTGGATTGTGTTCAAAATAAACATAAGTACGCTTCTCCTACTCTATTTAGTGTAGTGGAAAGACTTTTTCAGAAGTGCGCTGACACGATCAAACCTTACTTACCACAATTTATAAAATTTTTAAGGATTTGTTTAGATAATTATAGTGCAATTCTTCCCTCCATTTTCACAGAAGTTGAGAATCGTAAACTGTGTATTGTCTCCCCTATCGTGACCACATTTGCAGCCAATATACTGAACATTGGTATAATTGAGAAAATACCTAAAGCAATGCCATAGAAATTGAACATTTCAGATTTCCTTGATTTTTTGCCTACTATGTTGCATGACTTTCATGTTGAATTTGTTTTAGTTCTCCCTCAATTACATGAGATTCCAATGGTTGCTACATTGTTCTCTAAGACCATTACTTGATTGCACATTCTTCCTATTGACATTAGGAGGTTACCCATTAATTATCGACATGCTGTGTTAGCTTATCATTTTATTGATAATGTTTTTAAATTCCGTGACAAGTTAAAAGGTCAAATCATTTCCAATCATCAAAATTTTGAACTTACTTTCGATGTGTAATATAAGTTAGAGAATTCTTGTGATAACTACTATACTTTATTGCGTGTCTCTTTTATCCGATTTCCCAAAAATGTGAAGAAAATGTTTGTTGGTCACTCATATAAAGATTTACTATTAGATTACCATCTCACTTAAATAAAAGTAATATTTTCAATATAGAAGAATTATTTCCTAATCGAAGCCATTTGAGCCTTTGATGTTGCAATCTTTTGTCCCTACAGGCTAGTCTTCGGTGCTAACTTTTATGCCTCTCATTATGCATGATCACATGAAGATTTTGGAGATGAGTTGCACGAGTATTTACTATTTGGAGATCAGTATCGATATTTGATTAAAAAGAGTAATAGTCTTCCTTGAGTGGATCATATCCTTGTAGATAAGTTGCAGTTTTCCTTGTTATCAACTGTTGAATTTCGATATTTGATTCTTTAAAAAGATCGTCCCCCTTGGTATAAATTTAGAAACTTAGCACTGAATGAAGCTATGATTTAAACATTTTTGGTATTAGGTCGACTGCAGTCTTTTGTATTTTATCCACTCGACAGAGTCAAGTTTTTCTCCCACTTCGAGAGAGTTGATGCGGACATCATCTTTTATTTTTATGTTTTGTTATTAGGCTTGTAATATTGGGTTAGCTCAAGCCCATCTACTTTCTAAGTTTGTTGATTTTTCTATTCATATGGCTTGTCTTGAACATGGAAAAATAATTGATGAATATGAATTATTGAAATTGATTTTGGCTTGCAGCAAATGTTATCTCCTTCCCATGCCTTCCCTTTTGATCTCTTCTTCTTCGAGTTTCTCTGCTTTTCTCTCCAGTTCTCCTCCCTTCTTATTGTCTTCTTCCCTACTTCTTCTTCTTGCCATGGTTTCTCCTCTGTTGCTTATCTATTCCTCTACTGCTGCTTATAAGTTCTCTGTTGGAATACCAACTATATCCTGCATCATGATGACTTGTTAGGAGTATTATACTCCTTTAAATGATCATAGAAGCAGGGGGCGGACCCACATGGGATCATGTGGGTTCAAATGACCCCACAAAGTTTTGGTTTTTTTTTTTCCTTCCAAAAAATAGTTGTTTTAACCCATTTTTGACCTACTTTAATACATGTCAAATAAAGTCGAAACATTGCATTTTTAATATCATTTCGAAGCACTCATGGCCTAGTTTTTTTCTTCTTAATGGTGTGCAAAATGATCAACCATATGAAAAGTTACGACGTATTAAAATATGTTGCTTCAAATTAATATTTCGAAAATTTCGATAATATGCTAATTTTTAAAATTTGCCAACGATCGTATACTATTCGAATCTACAAGTCGCCTGTAGCATCTAAAAACTCTTTTCGAGAACTACATCATAGTCATATCAAATGGTTCAAACAAATATTGAAAATAGTTAAATATGCGTCAAACATACGTACAAAAAGAGGCGTTTAACTCGTCTTTTCTTTTAAAAAATTAATTATTTCGTTAACGTTTATTATTTTTGCACGATGAATTTTTCAATATAATTTACATAATTTTATTAGGAAATTTTACATGAAAAATGACGTCAAAAATTCTAAAATCGTTGCGGATCAATTGTAATTTGAATTACTTTTAAATTATTTTTTTTATTAAACTTAAATTTCATTTACTTCCTAAATTCAATGTGAATTTTATTTCAATTCATTTACTTCCTACATCTAATTTGATTTACTTGCCGTTAGCTCAACATCCATAAATGACATGGTAGACAAAAATATATATGTAACAAAATTCATTTAACTATATTGATAACGATATAATTATAAGACATTCTCAAGGTGTCAAATATGTATTAACTTATTTTCATTAATATCATGTTGTTTAAAAAAAATTACACATTAATTTTTGACCTTACAACCCAAAAAGTCTGGGTCCGCCCTGCATAGAAGACTACTTGAGAATGGTAGAAATTATATCCCCAAGATGGAGAATCAAATCAGTCTAAAAGACAAGTTAAAGGAAATGTCATTAAATGACAAGAGGCTTACGAGTTCAAAAGTATTGGCATACAAAAGCTTAAAAGCCTTTAAAACATTTTCCTATGCAAGTGAAGATTCAAAGCCTCGATATAGTGGCAGACAAGAGCTTAAAGCTTACATGACATTTGGCTAAAGATACACATGATATATCATGTGTTGACAATACCAGAAGTTCCTATAGATATTTTCACTATGAAATAGCTTTTTAATCGATTGGAAACCCCTAAGGGAAAACTTATAACGTTAGGAGAGTTAAATAAAGAGGTTAAAGATCTCAAAAGGAAAGCAACATTTTTAAATGAAAAAATAAATCAAATGGAGATTGAAGATTTAAGGGTAATAGAGTCCATCCATCAGTTAGAAATGTCAGGACCTAATAGTCAAATAGCTCTCGGTGAAGAATCGGAAAAACGGAGGATGAAGTATTTTTATCGACAATTCGAAAGGTCATTATTCAAAGATGGTGATAAATCATTCACAATAAAAATAACTGCTTTAACAGATAGTAGTCCTGATCTAAATTGTGTTAAGAGGACATATTCCCACAAAGTATTTTGAAAAAACATCACAAAGTGTAACTGCTAATAGACTAAATATGAAAGTAAAATATAAACTTTCTAATACATATGTTCGCAATGACGGATTATGTATAAACTTGTCCAGTTGTCCTTCATTATGGTTAAAATCTCTCACAAGAAACAATTTTAAGAATCCACTCTTTAAACAAAATCAAACCTATTGTAATTGATAACGATAGGATATCCACCATCTTAACGGGTAAAAGAGTACTTTTTAAAATAATCTCTAAACCTATAGTAAACGAAATTAGTGTCTTTAAAAGAATAAATTCTAAGATAAATCAAGGGGAAATAAAGATTTTCAAGATTAAAGAATTATTAAATAAACCAGAAGTCTTGAATAAAACAAAGGTTATAGAGAATACATTCTTTTTAGAAGTTTGGAGTGACCATCCTATGCTTTTTGGGAAAGAAAAAGGTATGATTTCTTTAATGATTTTTTTGCTAAGCAGGTAGGGTTATATTAGATTGCATAGGTTATAACCGTACAAAAAAAAAAAGCATTTCGTCCCTTTCGGTAAGTTAAGTTTTTATATTCCAAACATTAACACTTCCAAAGAGCCTTTCAGGAAGA